CTGGGACAGGTGTCGGCCTGGCAGCAGCACCACCTAGGACAAGCAGCCCTCAGCTCTCTCGTGTGAGTAGCTAGTTTTCCCGGCATCTTTACTCCCGGCCTACATGCTCTCTTTTCCTATAGCTACAGCCTTTTGCTCTGTAGAGTTTTGTGTGAAGAATCCTACAGTGATTCCTTTTCAGGTAGGCACAAGTGTTGGGAGAAAATTTTTTCTTTACATGGCTCTAGATAATAGATTGGATACTGACAAACTAAGCATTCTTTGAAGGGATTTGGGGAGCAAGGCTTCTCCCATAGGGACATTCTGAGGTAGAGAGACTCGGCCAGGATCTAAGGAAGCCCAAAGGCACAGCTATCACCTACAGGCACCATCCTTCTACCCACTGACCAGTGGTTAAGCCGCCTTCTGCACCCCTGCTTCCACATACCTGCCTCTGGTTCCACTGCTTGAAAGGCAGCCTGTAGGCATTCAGGCCTCCTTGCCACCCTTGCCGTTTATTGCTTTGGTGAGTGTCTGTAGACAAGGAGAATAGGAAGATAAGCTGTACCTTTTGCTTTCTCCGTGGGCCATAGGGAAGGAAAACTGGGGGCTGGGTGTCTTATGTATCAAGCATGCTCCATAGGATTTGTGTGATTGATCCCAGCCCAGTGCATACACCAAACCTCGTTCACAAAGACACTGTTCCTTATAGGAAGGGAGTAAGGATATAAGCAAAGAGGATTTACAGTGGTGCCCAGATGAGGCCAGATATTCCAGAGCATCAGCGAGCAAGAACAGGGCTTTTATAGAACCAGAATGACAGTAGACCTGTGGAGCAGGTGGAGGAGAGTGTCCCTAGACAGGGTACAACATAGCAGACCCAGCTGAGCCCGTGAAGACTGGCTGCCTTGCCTCTGCTCAGGGAAGTAGGAATACCCCAGGCCCCTGGCCACTGCCCAGCACATCCCCAGAGAGCCTCAGCTCAGCAACCCTTTCCCTCATACATTCTGAAGGAACTCCGCAATGAGTATTATCATCAGTACTTAGGAATTACGTCATGGAAAAAAGAGCAGAGTATCTCAGGGAAATTTGCCTACACAGGATTTGGCCCTCAAGCTTGTCCTGAGCATCCTAAATGAATGCATTAAAAATAGTCCTGGAAAAGCAAGTGGAAGGGACTCAAGAGCCCAGGCCTGGGGAACAGCCTGTTTGCGCCCCCCGGTACTGCTCTGAGCAAGCTCCTCATTTCCTTATCTGGAAAATGAAGATGGTATGACTTGCACCTTAGAGGTGTTGTGAGGATAAAAGAGATGTTGTGCCCTGTCACAGGACCAGAGCAGATGCTGAACAGATGCTGAGAAAGAAGAGACAGTGAGCAGATCAGGCTGCTAAGCTGCTCGTCTGCCTTTCTGGTCCCTGCACAGCATTAGACACTGACATTGTTTTGTATACTTCAGCTGCGAAAGTACCAACGTGGTGGGTAACAGAAGCAAGTAACGTAAGGGCTCAGCGGTACCGTTTTCTTTCCTCCCAGGAAGATGGGATTTCCTTTTGTGCCAAGCACTGAAGGAAACGATCCAAACCAGCCTTGGGGAATTCTGACAAGATTTCAGACTCTGGGCCCTTTTCCGTCAGGCAGTGTCTGTACTGTCTCATTCCGGTTTTGCAGACGCATTCGCAAGCCATCTGACATCTCTTTTTTTTTTTTCCTTCAGTGCTGGAGGGCAGTTATCTCAGGGTTCCAATTTATCTATTAATACCAACCAAAATATCAACATTAAGTCCGAACCAATATCACCTCCCCGGGATCGAATGACCCCATCGGGCTTCCAGCAGCAGCAACAGCAGCAGCAGCAGCAGCCGCCACAGCCACAGCCACAAGCCCAGCAGCCCCAGCCCCGACAGGAAATGGGGCGCTCCCCTGTGGACAGTCTCAGCAGCTCCAGTAGCTCCTATGATGGCAGTGATCGGGAGGATCCACGGGGCGACTTCCATTCTCCAGTTGTGCTTGGCCGACCCCCAAACACTGAGGACAGAGAAAGCCCTTCTGTAAAGCGAATGAGGATGGACGCATGGGTGACCTAAGGCTTCCAGGCTGGTGTTTGTACTTTGTGTTACTGCAGTGAACTGCCCTGCATATCTAAATTGGTAAATAAGGACATGAGTTAAATATATTTATATGTACATACATACATATATATATCCCTTTACATATATATGTATGTGGGTGTGAGTGTGTGTGTATGTGTGGGTGTGTGTTACACAGAATCAGGCACTTACCTGCAAACCCCTTGTAGGTCTGCAGATGTGTGTCCCATGGCAGACAAAGCACCCTGTAGGCACAGACCAGTCTGGCACTTCCTTGGACTACTTGTTTCATAAAGATAACCCATTTTTGCAGAGAAATGTGTACCCATATATAATTCTCCCACACTAGCTTGCAGAAACCTAGAGGGCCCCTACTTGTTTTATTTAACTGTGCGGTGACTGTAGTTACTTAAGAAAAAAATGCTTTGTAGAACAGAGCAGTAGAAAAGCAGGAACCAAGAAAGCAATACTGTACATAAAATGTCATTTATATTATCCAACCTGGCATGGGTCTCTATTGCAAAGGGGTGCATGGGAAAGGGCTGTTGATATTAAAAAACAAACAAAAGAAAAAAGCCCCACACATAACTTTTGCACGTGCAAAAATGTATTGGGTCAAGAAGTGATCTTTAGCTAATAAAGAGAGAGAATAGAAAACACGCATGAGATATTCAGAAAATACTAGCCTAGAAATATAGAGCATTAACGAAGTAAAATTAATATATTAAGTTATAATTGGAATATGTCAGAAGTTTCTTTTTACATTCATATCTTAAAAATTAAACTGATTTTAGCTCATGTATATTTTATATGAAAGAAAACACCCTTATGAATTGATGACTATATATAAAATTATATTCACTACTTTTGAACACATTCTGCTATGAATTATTTATATAAGCCAAAGCTATATGTTGTAACTTTTTTTTTTTTTTTTTTTAGAGAATAGCTTTATCTTGGTTTAACTTTTCAGTTTTATTTTAAGAGGGGAAAACAAACAAAAATATCTTGCAAGCAGAACCTTGGAAAAAAAAAGCCATGAACACTTATTCTATATATAAATTAAAAGTTGAGCCAAACTCTTTGTGTATATAGCATCTTAAATATATTATCACCTTTGATGTAAGTACCTATGTATTGTATGGTCACCAGATTAAAAAGTATATTTTTGTGGATTGCCGCCAATTTGGGGGGAAAAGGCGAGGTCCTTTATTAAGTATTCACTGTTGAATATTTACTATTTTGTTAAATATACTGTACTTTGGATTTTAATTATTAGCCCAGTTTTTTCAGAGGATTGTATAAAGGGGTTTCTCCCCTCACTGGTGGTGAATGTGTGATGTTACATTGTAATCTTTGTGCCGTATGGGTTGAGCATCATTATATATTTTATATGTGTACATAAATAGCAAAGTGGCAAAAAAAAAAAATTGGTGTTAAGTTCATCCTGCATAAGTATAAAATGTGTCGTAACAGATTTTATAAGGCATTATTTAAAATTTGCCTTTCGTGAGGAAAAAAAATATAGTATAAAAAGCCGACCTAATTTAATTAATATTAGAGAAAATGACAAAATAGTAGATGAGCACAAAGGTTTTATAAGTGGTAAATGATTAGTGGAAAATACTCGTGGGGAAAGGGATTTTTTTTCCTTGACCTCTGAAAACAGAATGATGCGGCTGGTGACAAAATCCTACCAAGATCAGCTCTTTTGCGCATCACAGTGATGCGTTGGTGTGCGGGGAGAAACGCTCTTATGGTGCCGGTCCTTGGCATAACTCTTGCCATTCTAATTGGCATTAGTGCCACCCTCAGCTTGGATTGTAAACAAGGCCTTATTCTTATAGGAAGACAGCTAATGGATGATAGCAAGTTCATCCATTTACTGGGCTTGTGCCATGAGCAAAATTCAAAGTCCCGTGTATCTTTCATTGTAGATTTTTACATACTCCTTTTCCTGAAAAACTCAAGGGTTTAAAAATTGCTATTTTATATTTTAAACAATATTGAGCAGCTACCTAGAATTTTTACATACATTTTGTTCCCCCGCCCCCAAATTATGCTCCTTTGGACATTTTCCTCATCTGCTGTTTGTGACAAATCATCAGCCAGATTTCTTGACTGACACATAGGTATAATCAGGTGCAGAAGCCTGTGCATCACAGGCTGCAGACCGGAGGCTCTGTTCTCATGGCAGTTTGGGTAGTAACTTTAGAGGAGGCCAAAAAAAAGGAGGAGGACAGTGCTGTCTCTTCTCTTCAGTATAGACATTTGGCTCTTATTCAGAAAGGATTTTTCTTTAAAAATGGACTTATTTTACTGAGCTACTTACAGGCACATTTCTTCATAAGGCCACACCTAATCCAAATAAGGCAGTCTCCCAACACTAAAGCTCCAGAATAATCCCTTACCACTTTGTAAACCATTTATAGCTTTGAAAGTGTTAAGTGATTCCTTCGTTATTATTTATGCATGTTCATGAACTTCTGCTGTACATTGGAATAGGAGTTAACACATTCACATTTACTGTCTATTTTCTTGTGTGCCTTATGAGATGGCTTTTCTGACTGTATCTCAATAGTCTTTCTTTCTATGCAGGTTTATAATCAGTACAACTACTGTTTTCTAAAATAATATTACTCAAGGCTCGGAGTTTGTATTTAAATTACACTGACCAAGGAACAGTGTATTCCATTTTCAGGAACTGAATATTTGACTGTTAACCTTTTTCCCATACGCCCAGTGTGGCATGGAGCATATCGACTTGACAGACATCTCACCCAGACGCCCATGTGTGAACACACCCACACCCACAGCTCTGGGTGGACACCAACCTAGAGTGGGGACGACGCTAATGGTGTTGCTTTAGAACCGTCTTTTCTTACCCTTTTAGACTCGTGTTTTATATGAGACACCATTGCAAGAAAATTTTATCCCTCCGGAAGTATTTTATTACTAAAAAAACAAAAACAAAAAAAGCTTAGAGTAAATTGCACTGGTTAAAGTACAGTTTCCAACAGCTGTACTTCTTCAGAACTCTAACCGCTGCTCCACTGCGGTGCAAGTCACCACTGTGTCTACACAGGTGTCCCAATCAGAACTCCATCTTTTGAGCCCAATTCTGTCCATTGTGTTATAGACTAAATCAGGGGTTTGTTCGAAAAGAACAATACATATTTTACCATTTCCTTTAAGGACAACCAGTAATGCATTAACATAATTTCTATATTAACCATCACGCGCACAAGAAATACATAGTAAATAAGGAACCTGAAAACTCCTGGCATTGGATTATAAGAAGCTAGATGATTAGAATGTGAAAAAGATTTTACAAATGTAAAACTTCTATTTCTCTGTAGAAACTTTCTTCACTTTGCTGTGCAAGAAGACACTGCTTTGCTATATTTAAAATGGCTTTTTTAAAAGAGATTTATGTATTTGGTAAATGTTTGTAGTCAACAGTTCACACAAGAAGCTGTACACGGTTTGATCATGTAAAACCGTTTGGCGGCACAAGCTGGACTTTGTTGCCATCCTTGAGATGAACCTTTTAAGAAAAATAAGTTAATCTCAATTTTTCCCTGAATGTGTTGTTTTTCTTCATTATACAATAAATATAATAGTGAACTTTTTATCAAATGGTGAAGACAATGCTAGAGGTCGTTGTAAACTGTTTGTCTCCCGCACTCACTCCAGTAAAGACGGACTGGCTCTCACTGTGCATCAAGACTCTGTCTGTTTGCCTGAGGAAACGCTGGCTTTGCCACAAGGCAGCCCCTACCCCTAAAGCCCCTTCCTTTTTCATCCCTTTCATGAAGATGTTTTCACCTGCTGGTCCCTTTCTCTGGGTTGAGACAGGGTCAAGGAAACTGTCCCAGTGCCCCCACTGGCCTCCCCATGTTGGCTTCCATGCCATGCCTGCTGGGCAGCCCTGGAGCCTGTAGGAAGCAGCGGGCCATGCAGTCCCAGCAGGGCCTCGCCCGGCTCTCCCGTGCACAGTGCTGGGACGGTTGCAGTCCTTTCGGTCTCCGGTAGCTGCTTCTCACAGAAAATACACCAAGGCGTGTTAGAGGGGTGGGTATTGTTGGAATCATCATTAGATTCTGTGTCTCTTTAGTGGTGTGAAATGATTAGTTTTGCCCAAAATACATACATGATGCTGAGCTAGAGGCAACAGAAGACAGATGGTATGATTTTTTTTTTTTTTTTTTTTTCCCAAAAATGCTAGGTGTGCATCCCAGTATGCTGGCGGGCATTTAATAGTCATCTTCCTTCATAATTCAGCTAGAAAACAGAACAATCTTCAACTTGTAGTAGAAAATGTTCTCTCCTGATGTCCCTCCTAAGCCAGCTCCTAGCTAAGCAAATTCCTGGTGTCAAACTGAAAACCAAATTTTTGTGCTGGCTACAGTGGGGCTCGTATTAGCAGGTTTTGAAAGCTAGTTGAGTCCTGTGGCTAAAAATACTCTAATCACAGCTGCAGCTACTTAAAATCAATTCATTGCATTTTCCTACTTGGCTCCCCTGGGTGCCTTGCTCTAGGCGGTATCTTGTTTTCAGGCCGATTCTGTGGCACCAGCCAAGACGATTTTCAGTCGGAGCCCCGTGCCAGCTAATTGGCTGCAGCCTGCTCCATCCAGTGGTCCAGTGCTCACAAGCGGCCCGAGGACCACTCAGTTGCAAAACTGAGAGGAAGAGGATGTCTCAGGAGTTCCCATCTTCCACGGAGCCAGGAGGTTTCAGATCAGCGCTTGAAACACCAAACTTCTCAGGTCGAGTGGGCTCGTGTCTTCATCCCACAGAGAGTTGCTGACCCTCTTCTGTGAGAGGTAAGCCCTGATCCTAGCTGTTGCAGGCTTTGGGCTGAGGACAAGCTCTTCCCAGGCAGCTCCAGCCAACAGCTGCACATAGGTAGGGTGTCAGTCTTGGGTGTTCCTAATTCCATCTGTCTTGCTTCCCAGAGGACCAGAACTGAGAGGGCATCTTACTCAGCTTAGAGGCTGGGGCCTACACCCCAGTCATTTTCTTACAGATGCATGATGGGCCTGCTTTGTAGCTAACCAAAGCAAACGCAGCTGTGGAAGAAAGAAATCAGTTGTACTAACTGGTTTCACTACACAATCCCCCCCTGCTTTTTTTTTTTTTTTTTTTTTTTACTTTTACTACATACTTTTCATTTTGAACTCACTTTTGACTTTACAGAAGAGTTGGAAAAATACTGTGGTTTCCACATATCCCTCAGCGGGGTTTCTCCAGTGCTAACATTTACATAGCCATAGCACAAGGATGAGAACCAGGAAGTTAATACTGATACAGCACTGTTGGCTGGACATGGTGGCTCACGCCTGTAATCCAACCACTTTGGAAGCCAAAGCGGGAAGATCACCTGAGGTCGGGAGTTTAAGACCAGCCTGACCAACATGGTGAAACCCATCTTTATTCAGAAAAAAAAAAAAAAAAAAAAAAAAGGATACAGCACTGTTAACTAAATACCTTACTTGAATCTCACCATTTTTTCTGCTCATGCCTGTTCTAGGATTTAATCCAGGATCCCACATTCCCTTTGTCACTTGTTACAGCTTTTCTTACCTTGTATAACCTTTGACACTTGAAGAATACTGATGAGTTACTTGGTCTAGTATCCCTCAGTGTGGATTTGTCTGATGTGATGATTGGAAGAAGTTGTGCATTTTGGCAAGAATACCACGGAAATGATGTGTCCTTCATACATCACGGAGTCAACGCCGATGATGTCTTATTCCAGGTGATAGTGACCTGGATCACTTGGTTCGGTAGTTTTCATAGGGTTTCTTCGATGTAAGAAGTTACTCTCTCCCGTTGTGACTGATAAATAGATTGGAGGAGAAACCTTGAGACGATGCAGGGTTATCTTTTCACCTACTAATTTTGCATCTTGTCTACAGCTGTGGGAGCTGCTTGCTTTCTTCCACATTAATTGGAACTCTGCAAGGAACAGCTGTCCCTTCCCATTATTTAACTGATGATAGCATTATGGACTCATGGACTTTATTTTTCCTGTGGGTTATAATCTAGTACTGCCATTATTTTGCTCCTCCAGTTGTTCAGCTTTGGCCATTAGGGGCTCGATCAGGTGGCCTTCCATGGTAAATTTGAGTCCCTCCGCCCCCTTTAGCATGTCCTTTCTGGCACCGCAAGATGCGCCACACTTATCTTGTTGGATTAGCCACTTTTTCCACGATTCCTGGTTCCTTTTAGTGGAGAATGGTATTTGGAAACCACCTCCGGGTACTAGATGTGTTACTGTTACTGGGGTGTCAGCGTGCTCAGGCTCTCTCCGCAGACACAACAAGGAAATACATGTAGTTATGCTGTCACACACATCCATCTTCCTAATTATCTAATTATCAAAAGCCGTGGTTTACACTGATGCTTTGGATTCCAATTCAGTGCCCCGGGTTCATTTTAGCCTTTCCTCATTTGTAACTTCTTTTTCCTGTTGCTGGGATGCCAGTTCTGATTATCTCTTTTTTTTTTTTTTTTTTTTTTTTGAGACGGAGTTTCGCTCTTGTTACCCAGGCTGGAGTGCAATGGCGTGATCTCGGCTCACCGCAACCTCCACCTCCTGGGCTCAGGCAATTCTCCTGCCTCAGCCTCCTAAGTAGCTGGGATTACAGGCGCATGCCACCACGCCCAGCTAGTTTTTTGTATTTTTAGTAGAGACGGGGTTTCACCATGTTGACCAGGATGGTCTCGATCTCTCGACCTCGTGAGCCACCCGCCTCGGCCTCCCAAAGTGCTGGGATTACAGGCTTGAGCCACCGCGCCCAGCCCCAGTTCTGATTATCTACAGGCCTTTTTCTTCCTGTTCTGTTCCATTGTACACAGACTTCCAGAACTGCCTGTACCCGTGTAGAGAACACTCATTGACTGACTAGATAAGAGCACTGATGTGGTTTTGTGGTTTTGCCTTTGGCCTTACACTATCCAGTCAAGACAGTGTTACTTGTAGTTCCAGTCCCTCCAGTGGCTCGTTTTACCCATTTGTAATATGGTTAGGATCATCTGTTCGTGTTTTTATTTCACTCTGGGCACTCTCCTCCATTCTAGTTAGTTGTGGTGCTTTATTTTGAGGGGTATATGAATAGTATCTGAAACATTACTGTGTTTCTAAGCTATACAAAAAGATGCTCAGAGAAGCATTCTCTCTTCGCCCCTGCTAGCCTATTTCTATCCCCACGTCTCCCACCAGCCCCTACAGACAGCTACTCTCTTTAGTTTCTGGTTTAAGCCTTCCTGTACTTGTACAATAGGCAGCTTTGCTTTTTCCACTTAATATCTGGAAACCATGGAGTGATCAGTTTGGAGAGTTCTCATCCACAGTGTGGATGTACCGTAGTGCTGACCCGTGTGTAGTCATTTAGGCGTTCCCAGTATTCTACCGTCGTCAATGAATAACCTCATGCGTGTGCACATGTATATTGTCAGAAATTTCTCTTCAGGATAGTCCCCTAGAAGTGGGATTGCTGAAGAAGTTCACGTGTAGTTTTGTAAGGTATTGCCAAATTGGTCTCCAGAGGAGTTGTATCAATCTGCATTTCCTCCTGCAGTGTATGAGGATATCCTTGCCAATAGAGCGCAGTCATAGTTTTTATTTTTACCAGTCTGAGAGGTGTGTCTCAATGTTGTAATTTGCCTTTCTGTATTATGAGTGAAATTGAGCATTTTTTCCATATGTTTGAGAACATTTTAATCTCAAGTTTGTGAATATCTGTTCCTTTTTCCCATTTTTCTATTGGAGTTTTTATTTTCATCCCTCGACTTTTAAGGGTTATTTGTATATTGGGGATATTGACCCTTTGGTGTATGAATAACTCCTTTTTTGTGGTACTTTAATCATGCAAAATTTTATTCTTATGGAGGCAAATGTATCAATCTCATTGCTTGTGGATTTTGAGTTACATTTAGAAATACTTGCCACACATCAAGGTTAGAGAGGAATTCACCTGTGTCCTCTTGTACTAGTACAGTTGCACCTTTTACTTTGAGATTGCTGATCCATTTGGAGTTTCTTCTTCAACATGGATCTAATTTTATGTGTTTACAAAAGGCTCTCCGTGGCCAGGTGTGGTGGCTCACATCTATAATCCCAGCACGTTGGGAGGCTGAGGTGGGAGGATCAGTTGAGCCCAGGAATTCGAGACCAGCCTGGGCAACACAGCAAGACCTCCTCTCTACAAAAAGAAAAACAAACAAGAAATGAAAGGCTCTCTAGTTGTCCCAGTACCATTTATTACAAAGTCCACCTTTACTCCATTGAGTAGAGGGGCTCATTCTGGACCTTCTATTTTCACTCCTCGTGACCACAAATTGTAAATGGCTCTCAGCACTGCCCAGAGATGCGCTGCAGTCCCCTCGTATGCTGGCTGGCTTCCTTCCTTTCAGACGTAACTATGCTACTGTGACTCCTCTCCTTTCACACCTCCAAGACCACTTCCTTCTTTTCTCAGCTGGTCACTTCCTCTCACGTTTTCCACTGAGAAAAGAGAGGCAATCTGATGAGACCCACCTCACCTTCCCACGTGACAGCCAGGCATCTTCCCTCCAGGCGCTGTCAAGGGGCTTTTGGTGCCCATATCTAAGTCAAAACCTTCTGTGTTGTATCCTGGGTCCCAGCATCTCCCAAGGTCTTTGCTGCTGCAGCCATCCCCTCCTCCCGGCAGCATTTCTTCCTCTCTCCTAGATCTTTCCTATCAGCATAAAAGCATGCTTTTCTATCATCCAGTTCAAAAACGAACCAAAACAGAACAAAACCACCGCTGCCCCCTTTCTCTATCTAAAACGTTAAGGCTCACGTGAATATCATCAGCCCCTCTCCAGTGTACCTCAGGGTGCTAGACATATTTGATTCTTTTCTACATGTGATACAACCTGAAAAGGATGAAGTATTGAGCTACAGAGATATCAAGGATGGCGCTAAAGTCATCAGTGGAGGAGAGGAAGCCACCACGAGATCTATAGATGATGCCACAAGGAAGTGGGGCGGGAACGGTGTTTTGATAGCACGTGCTTCAAAGAAGTAGGAGGATTTAAAGAGGAGGGAGGAGCAATGATCTCAAAGCGGCAGTAAGGAGCCAGGGTGACACCGCCACTGTCTGGATGACTGGTACCTGGGCTGTCCCTTCCTTTCCAACTACTCAGCTGACCTAAGGCTCAGAAACAGGGAGCCTGGCACTTGACTGGGGGAATTAGGTCATGTCGATCGAACTAAATCAACGACACACCTCCAGAGCAGCTGTCAGTTTCACGGTGCAGGGAATTTAGTGGACTCATTCCCAAGCCCTTCTAAGAAAATCTGCCCCTTCTGGCTTCCTGTCTTGTGATCCAGTCCAGGCTCACAAATTAGAGCCCACTGACAGCGCTGCTCCCCTGGCCCTGCCTCAGAACCGGTCATGCCCTCTCAAGTCACCATTTTGGCTGCCCCTCCCCTCACCCTGGCCTATGATATTCTGCTTCTGGCCATATTAGAATAACACGAACCAGGGATATTCTTTCATCAAAAGATACAAGGCCTTGGACAACAGGAGGTGGAGTTTGGAGTTCGGGGAAGCTGAGGCATCTAGAATTTGTGGGGGCACGAAAATGGGGAGGGGGGAAGCTGGACAGAGATTCCCCCAAGTCTTTGGCTGAGTACTGGCCTGTGAGGAAATCACAGAGTCAAGGAAAAGAGCCAAGAGAAACAAGCAGGCAGGACAATCCCAGAGCTCACCCAGGGTGAGGAATCATCTGTGCTCCCACCAGAGGGATTGTTAGTGGTTATTAAGTAGGTTATCAATGCTGTGTGTGTTAGGTGGTGAGACCTCCTAACACACAGCATTGGGAGAATCTTCAGAAGGCATTGCCCTGGGAGCAGGGCCGAATGAGCCCTCACTACAGGCTGCTCTACACCCGCCAAGCAGAAGAGCAAGCCTCAGAAGGATCGAACTGCTTCCAGGTAACCATGCCCCAGGACAAAGCACAAACTATTTAAAGGAAGACAACAAAATCCAGCAACCAACAACATAAAATTCACCATGTCTAGCATCCAACCAAAAATTACCAGGCATGCAGAAAAACAAGAACATACAATCTGTAATGGGAGGCAGATGATATAAATGACAGTTAGCAGATAAGGATATTAAAACAGCTATTACAAATATATTACACATGTCAGAATACATAAACACAAGGATGAAATAGAAGATATTAAAAAGGCCCAAACAGAACCTTTAGAGATTAAAAAGACCCATAGTAAAAGATGCACCGGGCCGGTGTGGTGGCTCATGCCTGTAATCCCAGCACCTTGGGAGGCTGAGGCGCGCAGATCCACTTGAGGTCAGTTCGAGACCAGCCTGGGCAACATGGCGAAAACCCATCTCTATTAAAAACACAAAAATTAGCCAGGTATGGTAGTGCATGCCTGTAATCCCAGCTACTTGGAAAGCTGAGGCAGGAGATTCACTTGAACCCAGGAGGTGGAGGCTGCATTGAGCCGAGATCATGCCAGTGTACTCTAACCTGGGTGACAGAGCAAGAATCTGTCTCCAAAAAAAAAAAAAAAAGATGCACTGAATGGAATTAGTAGTAGACTAGACAGATACTGCAAAGGAAAACAGCAATAGAAATATCCAGAATAAAACAGAAAACAAAAAATGTGAATAAAATATAAATGAGCTAAATAATTGGAGGGAAATAATGAGGAAAAAGTTTTCAAGGAAATAATGGCCAAAATTTGTTCAAATCAGATGAAACTATATAAACCCACAGATTCAAGAAACAATGACCCCCCAAACAGAAATGTGATGAAAGCCACACCAAGGCTCGTCAGAATCACATTGCCAGGTCTGAGCCACGTTACTGTTCTGGCCTTTCTTAGATTCTGCATCTGTCTGCTTGGCATCCCTTCATCACAGGGCCCATTTTATTCTCCTCATTGTAGTAACTGGTTCTTATCTTCTGTATTCTTGATGCTCTGGCTTTGAGGGTCTTGCTGACTGGGGAAGAGACTGCCGTTCCCAGGACTAGCCTGTTTTCCCTGCCCTGCCTTCTCTTTCCCAGAAAGACGATGAAGGCTCTGGCCTGAGCATGCCCCTGGCTCCTTTCTGCCACCTGACCAACATGGGTGCATCCCCCATGTGGCCCTGTGGGGCCTGGTGTGCCCCCTTCTCTTGGGAATTGCAAGTAATAAAACTTTCTTGCGATGCGGCGGCATCAGTAAGAAGCCATGTCTCCATGTTGTCACGAGTCACCTCTAGAAATTAAAACCCATGAGTACGAATGGAGACAATCCCCTCTTAAGATACCCACTCCTCCCACCGAGCCTCTCCAAAACTGTGGCTGCCATCTTTACTTTAGTGCTCATCAACTCTCCACTGCTCAGAGACTTTGAATGGCTTCCCACTGTCCATCAAATCATGTCCAGATCACTTAAATGTGGAATTCAGGGTTGCCTAGAACCTGGCCTCAAGCTAGTACAGCAGCGTCTTCCCACAGCTCCGTTTACACTTCCTTCACGCCAGGCCACCAGACTGTTTGTAGTTGTCCATCTAAACAGTCCCATGGTTTCTAGCCTCTAGGCATTTGCTCACACTGAACAGCATTCTTTGAAAAGAACCATCGCTGCCATATTTCTAAATCCCAGTCTGCTTTCAGATGTCCACTAAGGAAATGTCATCTCCTCTAGAAAACCCCTCTTGCTTTATCAGCCACTTGTCATCCATTTCCCTCTGTGGGCACAGCTTGTTCTACCGTATTTCTACTCTGACATAGGTCTTTTTAAAAAAACTATTATTTCTCCAGAGACGGGGTTTGGCTCTGACACAGCAACACAATCTCAGCTCACTCTAACCTCCACCTCCCAGACTCAAGCTATCCTCCCACCTCAGCCTCCAAAGTAGCTGGGACTACAGGTGCACACTACTGTGCCTGCTTAATTTTTGTAATTTTTCGGTATAGACAGGGTGTCACCATGTTGCCCTGGCTGGTCTCGAACTCCTGGGCTTAAGCAGTCCGCCTTCCTCAGCCTTCCAAAGTGCTGGGATTACAGGCGTGAGCCACTGCGCCTGACCCTAGCATAGGTCTTATCCCACTAGATTATAAGCACCTTGAGGGCAGGGGCCGTGTCATGTTATCCCATCACCTCCTGGTATAACTGGTGTTCTGGAAGGTTATAGATGAGCAGATGGAAAGTGGCACTTGTTTCTTATTCAGGGTAGTGAAATGGTGATGTACAGTAACCAATGTTTTCCAAAGACATGGGAAAGTCTCCCCCAGGTTGTGGTAGGACTCCCTGCCTTCTTGCTGGCACTGTGGTGGCAGTCTCTCTGCAGGTTTTGAGCAGGAATGGGAAAGAGCACAAGTCACAGGTTGGAGCTGCACTTCGTCACCACACTGGTCTTTCCAGGGGCAGTGGGGCTGATTGGCAGTGCAGGAGCAGGGAGGGTGCCTATCCTCGCAGCAGCTCCTCTGAACCAAACATGGAGAACAGGCAAAGTGGATGCTATCCACACTCTCCCCAGCCCCTTCCCTGCCTGGCCTGAGAAATAAGCTTGGAGGAGCTGTCCCAAGGCGTTAAGTGCTAGGAGGGAAGCAGCTATGGGAGGCTCTTCTCCTGTCACTCTTTGTTTCTCAAAAGGAGCTGGTTCACTGGCTCAGAGGCTAAATCCAGTTGATTCTGCACTAAGAAAATGGGCAGATAAATGCTGATTCTGCAGTTACTGCAATTCAGGCAATGGGTCTAACTTTTCTTATCACTGTGAGGCCAGTACCCTAGGGGGGCCAGTAAACATGTTCTGTCTGCTGTCCCCTTGTGAAGCCCTGCCTTGGAGACCTCAAGCATCCCCCATGTTCTGTGAGCCTGGATCATGCCATAGGTGCCCTACCCCAAGGCCCACAGCAACTGTCATGCAGTTGGCAGGGCAGAAAGGGATTGAGGGTTAAGAGCATAGGCTCCCAAGCACCCCCATTTACCATTTACCGGCTGTGTGGTCATAGGCAGCTTGCTTTTTCCATCTTTAAAATGAGGATAGAAGTGCCCGGCTCGTGGGAAGGTGGCGAGGGTGAAGTGAGTGAGCGTATAAAGCTCGTGGAACACTCTGGCATCCACGGAGAACCAGAGCTTATACAATTGTTGCTCCTGGGGTTGCAGCCCAGTCTTTCCCAAAGAGAAATGTTCACGGCTCTGTGAGCCTTTCCTACAGCGGAGCCCAGGCTTCTGCTGTCTCCAGTGTTGTTGTTTTTTTCCTGAGTCTTGCTTTGTCTCCCAGATCTCAGCCCAATCTCAGCTCACTGCAACCTCTGCCTCTTGGGTTCAAGCCATTCTGTCTCAGCCTCCCAAGTGGGACTGCAGGCCCGCACCACCACGCCCAGCTAATTTTTGTATTTTTAGTAGAGACGGGGTTTCACCATGTTGGCCAGGCTGGTCTCAAACTCCTGACCTCCAGTGATCCACCTGCCTCGGCCTCCCAAAGTGTTGGGATTACGGGCAGCAGCCACTGCACCAGCCCCAAGTGGCTTTCTTAATCCCATGACTTCAGGCACATCTCCTCCCACCCTCCCCTCCACTCTCCACCCACTGCAGCCCAGAAGGCCTTGTATGGTGGAGCTTGACCATCCCCTAACACACTCCTAGGCCAGGCCACACCTTTCTCACCTCTGCTGGACCGTGGCAGTCCTGGTTACCCTGCGGCATCAGCAGCTTTGTCTCTCCAGA